TTATTCCATTCAATTTCATTTATATCACACCGCCTCGAGATAAGATATCGATGCTAACCTTTTCTCCCGATCCGCCAGATCAAATACGACGCGTTCATGCCTACGTCGCCTTATGATCCGCGTACGTCATCCCATTCGTTTATTCATCCGTTTCGTTCGCTTCGCCGTTTTGCTCTTCCGCCCATCCCGTCCTCTTTATGTGCATTCGCGATTTATGTGTCCTTTGCAATTCGAGCGTTATATCCATCCTTTCCCTTCCCTTCCCTTCCTTTTCGTCTGGCCTATCCACGCCTACATCCATGTTCCATCCCATCCATCCATCCAATTCAATGCTGCTTACCATCTCATCGTACAAATCCTTCCTTGCTCCTTACTCCTTTCATTCATTCCACCCTTCCTTCTCTCTTCCTTCTACCACAATAAATAATAGCACATAGGCCCTGTTTAGACCCCTGCATCCTCTACGACCAAGTCTTTGTCTCTGAACGGCACATGAATAGGCACATGTTGATGCATACGAATATTAAACGTGTGTTTGCGTTTCTTTTTTTCTCGTCATCCCATCCCATTCTCCATACCATCCCAATAAAACCCTCGCATCCCCACATACTAAACACCACTCCCACACTACCCTTTATTGAAATTCATGCTAACGCCCCTCCCTCCCTTACACATACACCTGCGACAAATGCACGAAGCCCTTCGTGCGCCCTGACAGCATGGTGCGGCACCGGCGGAATGTCCTTGGGATTGATGAGCTGCGTCCGCGGAGCGGGACGTTGGTGCTGAGTGGGAAGGGCTCTGGGGTGGAGGTGGGATTAGAAGCGGACGGGGAGGGGGAGGAGGGGGAGGAGGAAGTGTATGAGCTGGAGGGGGATTTGTGAGGTAGCTTGTGCGGTGTGGTTAAGGGCGAGTGCGTCATTTTTCTTTGTGACGCGTATTAATTTGGGGTTTTTCTTTAGTTTTTAGGTGTGGTGGCCGAGGCTGTGGCGGGAGTGGTTATATCCCTGTCTTTCGTCTGTCATTTCTTCTCGCGGGTGGGTATCAACGTCTCCTTGGATCCAGTTTCAGTCTCTGGTTCGGATTAACATTCGGATTTAACCCGGCAGGCACCCCAACAGGCCTTGTAGCAGCATAGTGACATATCGTTCCCGGGTGGGGTTATATCCTACTCATCCTACTCGCCCTCTTGGTGTCGCCCTCGCCTTTACGTCAATATACGTCTTTCCTTACAAATGGAACACCTGCCTCATTATTTGGATCATTTCGCATTACTGCATGGATCTGGATCTGGATTACATACACTTTCTTTTTCTTTGTTTTCTGGTTCCTGGTTCCCCTCCCGGTTTCAACCTCGTTCATATCTCATCCATCCCTTCTCATTGCTTCTGTATGTATGCTCACCACCTTTCCTTCCTTCCCTTCCCTTCCCTTCCCTATTTCCACTCAACTTGTATATTCCCTTCCCTTCCCGTCGCATCCATATCGATATCATGACCACATATCTTATTGCTCACTTGCTGCTCGTTCAATCACCAATCGTCAATCACCAGTTCTGTAGAGATAGACCTCGCTTTCCTCTTCATCCCATTCCATCCCATCCCTTCCCGTTATTCCTGTACATCCTCACATCCTCGCTATCATCCTGCTCTGCTATCCTCGTTTCCTGTTATCTGTTTTATGCTTCCTTCATCGCCTGTGTTATATTCCATTTTTGTCCAGACCCCTAGTAAGCGTGCCCCATCTGATTTTCCACGGAATGTACTTATAGTTAGTTAGTTATTGGTAGTATTAGTGTATACTTAGTCTTTAAATATTTGCTTGTAGTATAAAGGTGTTTTTGATTGTTTTTTTGATGTGCTGGGGAAGAATGCATGATTAGGGCCCAGGGGTAACAGTAGTGTTGGTGTTGGTGTAAGTGTAAGTCTTTTGACTTCTTTTATGCAACACGATGTGATGCACTGGGATGTGTAGTTATTTAGTTTATTCATTAGTTAGTTAGGCTATTGGTGGTATTCAAATATTTATTGGCCTTAGCAGAGTTTAATCCTTCCTTACTTGTAGCACTGGTATATATAGAGTTGATTTTCGATTCATTTCAGTTTTGAGTTTTGAGTTTGATGTGTGGTTCCAACCCCAGGGTGAGGTGGAATGGGAGAGTAGCATTAGGTGTGGGATTTGGCTTGGCTCGGAGAGGCCATGGAACTATGATGATGAATTGTGAGAGCATGGGTGTCAGTAGTTGGATCATCTACTACTACTTATGACATTAAATCCAGGGCAGTGCATGTGCCTAAGTAGGGTTCAATCATCCCCTTTGCGAGTGGAAATTATCTGGCTTCGCAGCTGCGTTTTAGGTTTGGATTTGGACTTGGGTCACTTGGGTACCTTACCTGCTTATATTCGTACTTATGCTGAGATCTCAATTGTGGCTGGATAGAGCATAAGATTCAATTATGCTGCATCTGCATCTGTTTTTGGGTCATGTGGCTGAATGAGGTATATAGCATTGGGCAGGGGATTTGTAGAGGAGATAAAGTCAGTGAAACTTGCATATCATGGCTGGACAATTATTCTTATTGGCAAGATGTATGCGTGGATATCAGTAAACTCAGTTTCGTGTCCCGGCCGATCCTGAGTGATCCGGGAACACTGTCTATTCATTTGGGGCGTTTCAGACGCCCTGGACAGCGCTGGATCGGCTCGGACACGCGGGAACACTGCACCCAGTTTACTGATGGAGAGGAGGAGGAGGAAGCGGAGGAGGAGGAGGAGGACACATCAATGGGGATTTTCGAAAGTACAGATTATTTATTTATTTAATAAGAAAAAGTACTCATAAATTGTAAGCCTGCCGGCTTACGACACGACCTTTAGTCATACTTTTATTACATAACGGACGGAACCATTACAGTAGTTTTTCATTGTTTTACTTATACCTACTTGTACATCGTCATACCTTCTTGTTCAACAGAGATACATTGGTCCTGTCATCTGTGGATCGACCCTAGCGAGGCTGCATCATCGGCAGCCTTTCATAAATCCTCCCAAAGAATCCTGTGCTTCATCCTCCACTGAAATTACAGCTCTTTTCATTAGGTATGGTGCACACATGCTGCGTGCACATTGTTCATGATGAACCCCAGAAACTCAAACAGGTTACAAAACAGTTGTGGCTCCTATTCGTCGCGTTCCAGACAAAGTCTTGCAAATGATTCAACTCTTGGCTCTTGAACTCTTTCCTACCGAGTGGCGCTGCACAGTCAAGGTACAGGACATACAATCAATGTATGAGATTCGTGGTAGGTTAGCTGCTGTTTGCCAACGATGGAACCGCACGTTGTGTGCAACTGGTCATGCTTGGACAATCGTAGGGATGGATTATGGGTGGTCCTTAATATCCTTGCGGAAGTCATTGGAGCAATCCGTGTCTCTTCCTCTAGATGTTATATTCTTCGCCGCCGACCTTTTACCACAAAATGCGCACCAAATCGCAGAGGTTACGAACATACTTCTCCCCCACATGCAAAGACTCCGATATCTAAGGATGGTGGGAGAAAGGAGCTTTGAATGGTTTGGATCTCTCTTCCACGAGGAGAACAATATCGTTTGCCCCTTGCTGCGAACTATGGATATTTTAGAATCGTATTTAGGCCAAGATGTTTTCGTGCCAATGATTAACCCACCAAATTTGTCCAGGCTTTATCTCAGTCAGGGAATCTTTCTTAAAAGCCTTTTTATCGCCAATATGGCCAGCCTTGTAGAAGCTGCATTTCCAGTCCACCACATGGCATAATTGGTGGGAATCTCCTGCCTGACCTCGAATATTTGCACATTATCTCTAGGAATCTATATCAAAAGATCAAATGCAATCATTCCGAGGTTCTCTCTCCAATTCAAGCGTTTAAACACGTTGATCGTCTCTGCTCTTTATGACGATATGATGTACAACATTCTTCAACAATTACATTCTCCAGCAGTACAATACGTCACTCTCCGTTATTGGAACCGGAGGGATCCTCCCCAAGAGTTTCAAGGGTATTGGCCAAATCTTGAAACCTTGCGACTCGACTTCATGCACTTTGGGAACGGATCCGCCAAATCTTCCGAATATCTGCGTCGCTACTTCAATATCTCAACGTTACGTATTTTACACCTGTCGGGGTCCGTGATTCCTCAAATTAATTCCACATTACTTTCGGGTGATCCCACCTTCTGTCCCCAATTACGTATGCTTGTGATCCAGGAAAGCTTCGAGCCGATAACGGAAAGTCTGAAGAAGCTCATACAAGACCGTTTGATTCTGCGAGGTTCTCAGGAAAATGAAGTTCCCTTCCGCGTCGGCTTGTCTCAGCAAACCTTCAGGAGCATCACTTGGCCAGGATCGCCATTCCTCGAGGAGCCGTTTATAAAAGCGATCACTGACGAATAGATATCTCCCTTTCCTAAGTGGGAAAGGCGTTTCGTAGATCCGCAATATACGGACAATTGAAGACCTTGATACAATTCAATACACCATTTGTACGAAATTTATTAACGTATAATACCGAAATATGTACTACAAAGATCCACCATTTCACATTGGATTATTCGGGTTAGATGTCCAAGTATCAAATGATCTCTTTGCTGCCGATCCTGTTGCGTTTGCCGACTTGTGATTAATAATATACCATTAATGTCATACGCAGAAAATAAATCCTGTGCAGTCCTGAATAAGTACCACGCTGGAGCCGTAAGTTCCCTGAGACAGGTGTGGGCCAGTCTGTCAGGTTGGTTCTATCTGTTACATGTCACGTAGGTAGAGTCGCATGCATTACCCCCTTGCCTTCGCCGTTGTCGAGGCATTCCAGCTGCAAGTCTCCAATTCTTCTCCTTGAGGGCTTAGTATCGTCGCTCCAACGCTCCCAAAAAATAAAATGTAGGTTTAAGCTTCAGGGATGACAGTAAATGAGAGGTTGGATGCCGGAATGTGGGGGATACTGCAAAAACCTAGAGCCAGTGGGGATGTGGTGTAGAGGTTGTCACGTTTCAGTTGCAATCATGACTTGAAGAGGTCACGGGTTCAACTCTCGTCATCTCTACTTTTGTCTGGAAACTGCCTTTGTTTCTCTCTTAAGCATGTAGATCCATATATAATAATGTTAGGTATAGCCTTTGACTATACGTATGTATGTCTATTTCTTAGTCATCAGTGTGTATATTGTACCAGGGCTGTTGTGACATTAGTTATCTGAACATATTAATGTGCCCATGATGTTTGCTTTGTTGATCTTGGGGAACATATTTCCAACGGTGACTGTCAATCATCCAATGAAAGGACTCAGCGGTTATTATCGATGTCTTCCAGTGGTCCTAAGAACATAAACTAAACTAGGTATATTTTATGATGACGCATCTTCGTTGGGATATCTGGCTTGTCCGCTTCATAGCCAATCCGCATTAACCAGGGTCTTACACTTACAGGGCAGGGATTGTGGTTGAACGTTATAATTTATTGTGGACCGCATTTATTTTTTCTACCACTTCTTTTCCCTCGTGTCTTTTAATGGTCTTTTCAACCCCGGAGGGTCCAACAGACTATGATTAGATCAATTCACTTATTTAAATCAAGGCAAAGCATGCCCGGACTAATTCTTCCTCACGCAAGGATCCGTCAAGGTGCGCATCTTTATTTTTGTCCGTCAAATCAGCGCTTCGCTTCGGGTTTATCGGTTACCGGAAGCCCAACGCTCACTCCATCTATTCTTCTTTATTGCCAGAAACCTACCAAAGAATGTTCTCATTAAAAAATCACCAAAATATTCAGAATTACTCTCCCAATGTATTTTATTTTATTACGTGAGTAGAGGATCCTTCTACGACATTTCAATTTCTTTTATAAAGTTATGGCGGAGCCCACAAGATGTTGGCGCTCAACGGGTAACCGGTACCAAACACATAGCCGGTTCCCAGTCGGACTTGTGCTTTCATCATCAGAACGACTACGCTGACATGCTTGTATGATTATTCTTCGAACCGCCTCGGATGATGATTATACAGTGGCGTATCAGTATTAATGTGTCCGGTTTCCGGCTATCGTAGGATGGACATGGTTAGTATAAAACGAGGTGCGTTTTTTCCGTTATCGCCAGCACTATCATTCCTACTCAGTTTCCATCCTCTCTTCATCCTTGACAAAGATCTCTCAGCAATGGACTCTCTTTACTTCATCCAACGCAACCAGTTCTCCACATCCGTGGTACCAGCTCTTGACTCGGAAGATGTCTTCTACACAATCGAATCCACCATCCACCCGGATGGCCCTCGCACTTCTGATATTCTGAAGATGTCAGAAGACTCAGAGAAGACTGGATTTCCACTTGCCTCCGTGTCTTACTTCGATTGGAGCAATACCGTCGTCAAGTTTGGTGCTAGATTATTCGACCTGAACGCTTTCCTGCGGCGTACGAATAGCTACTCTAAGTAAGTAACAATACTTGTCTTGCATAATAGCCATGATTAACCTATACTCCCTCAGTTCTCGAGTCTTTGTTGGACCTGACAATCAAACGTACAAGTGGAGTATTCAAGGCAAAGGGCTAGAGGTATGTTTGAAGTGTGTCCTTCTTGATTTGCATCCTAACGCGTACTCGATAAGCTTCGCCACGCAGATTCGCACGAACTTATCGTCCGATCACATCCGCCGAAGAAAGCCACATTATTCTCAAAACAACGACATGCGTCCTTAGAGATTGCAAGGGAACACTTCATGGACGACTCAAAATTACTTGATGCTATTATCATCACATACTCCATTATGCAGCATAAACTGGACGAAAGACTGAAATACCGATACCCATGAAGATCTTTTACCACATTGGTTACTCAATTACTTGGATTACATTCATCCCCTTTCTTCATAGAGAAGTGTAATACTCTACTCTCATATAATCCTCCATGTACAGTAGATTTTCATTGTAATTACAAAATAATCCGAAAATATACCAATTTGAGATGTTAGGCCTTTCGGGGCACAGGTTCCAGCCATACTTACGCAAGTAAGTTATTGAAAGTCACCGTAGCCCGTATTATTTGTGCCCTAAGTGTTCGAACGTTCTTCTTAGGATAAGCTTACAAAAAGCTTACCAGATTTTCATACTGAGACTTTTCCTTCAATCAGTGTGTGTATCGTCAGGATCGACTTACTAGCGGACGTTTCTTTCGTGTCTCCTGCGAAGATTATGCATTACTTATTTGGGCTAGATACCAAAAAATCTACTGACCTCTTTACTGCCAATTCCGTTGCATTTTTCAACTTGGGATTAATAATATACAATCTATGTCGTCTGTAAGACATAAATTAGGAGAAATCCTGAAAGAGTACATACTCAAGAAAAAGACTAGATACTTAGGACCGCCGTTAAGATGATTAGTCAGCTTCCCGATCTCGATATGTTTTCCCAATGTTTCTCGTTGTCGTCCTCAAGTTCAGCTCGCATTCCACTTGCCAGAACTATGAAGGCTTCACCTGAAGAAGTATATAGTCTGAGTATCATATGCTGGCATTTGCTTACATTATAATGTAGCAATGTTCGCTCTGAACAACATCATATTGCCAACGTATTGCACAGCGAATTTACGCCTTCAGCATCGTAGTTCAACTCAATCGGCGGACAGCTTACAGAATTTGATTTGGAGAACTCCGTGAATTGGAATCTTGAATTTCCTGCCTTCGCAATGAGAAACTAGAGATCCGTGCCGACGAACTTTGTCCCCAATGCTAGGATTACGGTTACGAGTCACTCGCCACTCCTATTCGTCGAATGTCGGACAAATTGTTGCAAATGATTCACGTTTCAGTGATCGAAATCTCCGTAGATATACGACCTACTTCAGTACGGGAGCTCAGCACCGAAGACAGGGTATCAGTGAGGGACATCAACATCTAGTGTTGCCGCTAGTCTGGCCCAGTTCGGGTTAGACCACATCACGAAACCTGACCGTGGCGTCTATTTTTCCATAGCAGCTGTCTATCGTAGACGATGATCCCGACCTTCAGCAGGGAGATAATGTCAATATTACGTTATAATATCAATGTATCAGATTAAAATATATTTATTAGCATCTCACATATTTTTATAATAGGAAAGAATGCTCGAATGAGGCGTCTGAAGGTAGTGCTATGGAAGGTACCATAGCTGTCAACAAAGTATGGGAGCTAGCGGTGCTATAGTTGCTATAATCACTATAATAGCAGCTATAGCATTTGCCAACTTTACTGATGCACGACTGGACCAATAATAAATAGACTGACCGAACTGAACCATCCCCACCTCCTTAGTAATTCAAGTTTACGAGAATGGAGAAGGAAAGGGTGTTGTGAAGCCGATATGAATGCCCTTTTGTGAGTCCCAAGTGTATCCTATGTATCTGTCAATCACCTATACCATAAATGGTAAGATCCTGGTGCTAAGTTTTGGTTGTCTCCAGTTCCAGTTTCTTATTGGTGGTTTGCTCATTGCATGACGAGATCACATTGACTGTAGGAATCATGCTTACTATCACCGGACCAGAACTGCACCACAACCCAGAACTGCACCATCCCTCTTTCCTGCTGTCTGAGGCACGATGGATGCACGCTATTGGGTGAAAAGGAAAGTTTATAGTTCAATAGTGTAGGGTACAAAAGGATTTGAGCATCTATGAAGTACAGGTCCTGCGAGAGTCCAAGAAAGTGTGCTGAAAGCCTGAAAAGAGAGAAAATCACTATTATTGGCCTATTTTCTTCATGCCTCTGCTTTAGGACCAAAAGCTATCATTTCTAGGTATGCCTGAACAGTTTCGTACTCAGCTGATGAGATGCCAAGAGGGGGTGTCACATCTCCCATGAGCTTGCAAAGACACTCACCACAGTTCAAGGTGTGACATTCTGTGATCAGCCACACTTCGCTTCTGGTGCAGTTCTGGGCCCATTCACTGGGATTGCACTGGCACAAGACACATAAACATTTTTTTACAAGTCCTTCAAGACAATAATTTTTATTGTATGAACTATGTACAGACCAATTTTTTTGCATTTTATCACTGCATCAAAACACTGGAACAACTTCTAGTGGTGTGGCGCAGTTCAGGTCCGGTGATAGTACATGTTATTTTTTACTTGCAGTGTCTTGCATACCCTGTTTGGTCATCTCAATATCTTTTCACATGTGTTGGTGCATTTGCTTTGTGATATATACTATCAGTGGACAAGATCCTGTGCAGTTGGCTTCTTTCTACTCTTGAGCCACCTATAACAGTTTGTTTATATCTTATGTTCACACCAAGACTAACTGAACTCTAGTATATTGGAGTAGGTAGTACAAGTGGTGTGGTTGAAAAGATATATGCCAGCACCTAATGTGCCGGCATGCTAAATACAAGTCGTTGTGGACGCAGATGGTGTCCACACTAATTATAGGCTACATACTTGATGTAGCACATATAACTAATATATCCTGTATATTAGTTATTAGATATATTATAATATATATATATATATATATACTATCACCTCACAGGAAGTGGCACGCCCGTTGGGAAGTGGCACACCCCTATGTACCCCTACTGCATTGAATAGTCATTATTTTGAGCATGGGTGATTTTTTTATTGATTTATTATGCAATTTTCAAATAGTTGGTGGGGATGATCATTCAAAGTTTTAAGGGTGTGCCACTTCCTGAGGGCCGTGCCACTTTCTGTGAGGTGATAGTACTGATATAACAGTCTAGGTCTGTTACATCCTCCCCAGCTGACTGCTACTAGCAGCCAAGCTTATAGATCATCCAACTCCAGATCTACATTCATAGTACTCTCAGTATTGAGAGTACCACTAGTACCCACTATGGTGGGTACCTCCATCTCCACATCAGGAGTGCCACCGGGTGGCGCTTCCTCATAAGGGAGCACCGGTTTGCACACTTGGTTGTAGGAGTCCAAGTTCGCATCCAGGCATTGTTGACTGGATTTACCAGTCTTTGCTGGTGTGGGCGCATGCACTGATAGATGTGACTGAGGAGATCCAGTCATGGGTCACTTTCTGTAAGGGCAACCCTCAGAGCC